GCCCTTTAAACCATTAAACCATTTTTCATAAAATAATTTCACTCCATGCACGCTAGTGTTATTTTTAGGCTCAATAAACGTTGAAAAAAATTCTGCATAAAAAACGCTGGTAATAGAGTTTTTTTTTAATAGCGTTTAGTAGCGTTTAGAAGGATTTAGGAGCATAAGCGTATTAGTGTTTTTACAGTACATGTAGAAAAAAAGCTAACTATTTTTTTTGCTCCTAGATGCTGAAGCTCAGAAACACTAATAGCCTAAAGTAGTGTGCATGGAGGAGCAGAAAAAATGCTAATAACAGCTTCTAGGAGTTTAAACAAATGCTACTGCGCATGGAGCCTTACTACGTTTTTCTACCTCCTGGTAACATTCGCTATGAGTTTAATCACGTGTTAGTTCTCAAACCTCCCTTTGAGAGAGAGAGAGAGAGAGAGAGAGAGAGAGAGAGAGAGAGAGAGAGACTTTAATAATGTGTTAGTTCCCAAACCTCCCCTTTGAGAGAGAGAGAGAGAGAGAGAGAGAGAGAGAGAGAGAGAGAGAGAGAGACTTTATTAATGTGTTAGTTCCCAAACCCCCCGAGAGAGAGAGAGAGAGAGACTTTAATACTGTGTTAGTTCCCAAGCCTCCCCTTAGAGAGAGAGAGAGAGAGAGAGAGAGAGAGAGAGAGAGAGAGAGAGAGAGAGAGAGAGAGAGACTTTAATAATGTGTTAGTTCCCAAACTTCCCCTTTGAGAGAGAGATGAGAGAGAGAGAGAGAGAGAGAGAGAGAGAGAGACTTTAATAATGTGTTAGTTCCCAAACCTCCCCTTTGAGAGAGAGAGAGAGAGAGAGAGAGAGAGAGAGAGACTTTAATCATGTGTTAGTTCCCGAGAGAGACTTTAATCAGGTGTTGGGGGGCAAAAAAATGTTTCCCCTTGTACATGATTGAGTGACTGAAATGAACACAGCTTCACCCATAAGAGAACAGACTAAATTTCACTTGGATGATTTACTAATGGCATAGACACTGTTTATTTGTTAAGTGAGTAAGATTTGTAAAGTGAACGTTTACTTAGTTTAGTTTAAAAAAAGTAAAACTATACTTCAATCATCCAATCAAGTATAAAAAAAATGCTGTGTTAATTTCCATTGCATTTTTTCTTGTATGTGATTGGATGATTAAAGTGAACACAGCTCTACCTTATTCACTAATCCAGGCTAGCAGAGATGTTTCTAGCGTCCTAACAGACCAGGGCCCTTCTAGGTATGCAGGGTTTGATTTAATAAAACCTGAGAGTGCAAAATCTGGTGCAACTCTGCACAGAAACCAATCAGCTTCCAGGTTTTATTGTCAAAGACTAATTGAACAAGCTGAAGTTAGTAGCTGATTGGCTACCATGCAGAGCTGCACCAGATTTTGCAGTCTCCAGTTTTAGTAAACCAACCCCACAGATTAAAATGTTAAGGGGCTAGTAGAATGCCATGATAACCAATTTGGATCAAATCTAAGCCAATAATAATCTTTTTAACTGAACAAAAATGAATTGTTCTCAAAACAGTAATGTCATATTATGATGACAGAATAAATAATAGATGGACTAGAAAAAAATATTTCAAATACTCAACATTTATACACTGTATAATGCATAGATTGTATCATCTCCATATCTCAAAAGAGACTAGGGGAACTCTAGTAACGACCTGGGGTACATACCCTGGGTTACAGGAACCTTTGGGCAATGTTAAGGGGCGGGTAGGTGGCCATGATGACCACTTTGGATCAAATCTAAGTTGACTATAATTTTTTTAACTGAACAAAAATGATTAGATTGTACGCCCCTTGAGGGCAGGGACTGATGCGAATGTACAATATATATTTAAAAGCGCTGCATAAATTGACGGCACTATACAAGTACCTGAAATAAATAAATAAAATTGTTCACATTATAAAGACAAAATAAATAGATTATTTGAAAAGTAGTTAAAATATAGAACATTTCAAAACAGTATAAAGCACAGAATGTATAATCTCCATATCTCAAAAGAGACCAGTGGCACTCAGTAGAAGACCTGAGGTATGTATGTTGGGTGACAGGGTCTAGCAATGCCCCAGTTAATGAACAATAAATACATTAAACTCAATAAATTGATCATTACTACCCTATTAATTATCCATTTGAATTATACAAAGAATTAGGAGTTTCATACACTTTGGGAAGTTGTGTGCTTTGTTTTCATACTTGATCCCAAGAAATCCTTGGCTTTTGAATTGTTGGGGATGGGGCGGAAGGAGGTCAGGAGTTCATTAGATCTTCAATATCCATAGGGAGGTGATGAAACAACAAATAATACAAGCTTGTGACACCAAAAGACAAACAGCAGAGGATGAGAAGGGGGGACACAGGGGAGATGGGAAGTGTAAGGTTGCAATAAAGAAGTGGATGAGTTGACCTGTGTCCTGTGAGTGACCAGATGCCTACATGGGAGGTGATCAGAGTGGTTGGGGAACTACAAATCCCAGCACATCCTGCAGTTAATGGATCTCCTGGCATGGGACATCTGATCTTTCCTTGAGAGGCTGCTATCACTGACAAGAGAAACACAAGCAGAACCAGTGAAACGGAAATGTAAAGCTCTCTGCTAGTACACCAGTATAAATTACTCAGGACATGGTGTAAACAGTCCGGTCATAACCCTGAAACATTAAACAGCCCTGCTGGGATCGCAGTGCCACTATCTCATCCCCTCTCCCTCTTTCCTATGTTTATCTCAATGTAATCTCCCTCAAACTTCGCCATCAACAGATTTCAATCCTAATCCCTCGGAGGATAAAGCCGTGCCACTCTGTTCTAGCTTCTACCATGGACCGGTTAACCCTCTCAGCTCGGAGCATGGTTACCTGTCTGCTGCTCACAGGCTGCCCGCTGCCAGGAGTTATCTGTCCTGATCAAGGTCTCTCTAAGCACTCATCCCATAGCACAAACATTCCCAGTGTTTAGGAAAGCAGTGGGATGGCAGATAATCAAATCCGTGGGGGACCTGAGATCTAGATCTCATACCGGGGGCTGAAGGCAGACCTTGGTCAGATATGCAAAGAACAGTGACCTTAATGGACGATCTTATGAAAATAAATGGATAGAGAGATAAACCAGGAGCAGTACCTGTAGGTGGCCTCAAGACTTATCTACATATGCAGGTTGACTAGTGCTATAGGAACTCCCAAGTCCTACAATTTACATGATACAGTGTTACTGCTCCTCTCTCCCTGCCAACATAATATATATATATATATATATATATATATAACACAGTATATGTGCCCCAGGTCTTCTATTAACTGGCTCTGGTCTCTTTTGAGATATGGAGATGATATATTCTATGCGTTACAGTTTTAAAAAGTTCAATATTTTAAATATAAATAACTATATATATATATATATATATACATACACACACTAACATTACACAATGAAAACAATAATAACAACAATAATATATATATATATATATATATTTTATATATATATAATCGTATATAATATATATATATATATATATAATTGTTATTATTGTTTGCTTTGTGTATATATATATATATAAATATATACACACACAGAGAGATGCACATCTAATGTATGTATATATATATATATATATATTATATTTATATATATAGATATATAGTGTTGAGTACAGGTTGATATAATGAGTCTAAATTACTAATGGAGTTGAAAATGTTTCATCCAATAAATTGCAGCCTGAGTTCCAATAGTGGCATAGGATCTCGGATCTCCCAAGTCCTACAATGTACATGATACTATGATACTAATTCTCCTTCCCTGTCAACAAATATATATACTTGCCCAACATTATATATATATATATATATATATATATATATATATATATATATACATCATTTTAGATTGTATTGATGCAGGTTGATATAATGGGGATGATTTACTAAAGGGGTTGAGCATTTTCACAAATTAAATTAAATAATTATTGTGAATATTCAATTCAATTATCCAGTCTTGTGAAAAACAAAGTCCTGTCTAATTATTTAATCTGCTTTTAACTGGATAATTGAATTGCATATTTGCACAATTTATTGTGTGAACGATCTGAACAAAAATAGTCAATAATGTACTCATGCAATACAACTACAACTCTGCAGTTAAGGTCAGTTTTGTATCAGTCTCTCTCATCTCATTACCACTATTGGGTAAGTAAAATCTGGTGTCTCAATTAAATTCGGGTCTATTTATCAATGTTTTCACCCGAAAACCACACATTATATTCTTATATGAGTAACCTTTGAGGGTTAGCTAAGTTATTGTATTTTCTGAATGTTTACAGTTACTCCAGATCATCTTCAAAGGGCCAACAGTGAAACCTTCTTAAATTTCTCTTAATTCGAAAAAAAAAAAAAAAGGTTTCGAAACAATTATAAACAAAATGTAGTGTTTTAAGGAATCTATCTTTCTATTTTTTCACCTTACTTTTTATCATCTATATTTCTTTCAAACTATCTAATAATTACATAATCTGTTTTCCTTCCTTCATTTCTTTCTTTCTTTCTTTCTTTCTTTCTTTCTTTCTCTTTCTTTCTTTTCTTTCTTTCTTTCTTTCTTTCTCAAAGCAACACAAAAAGTGCTCCATATATAAACAAGTATTTATTTGCAGAACTATCTTTCTTGTGGAAAAAAAATATACTTTAATATAAATCTTTGCATCTGAAACAAGGGGGATCAGCAGAGGAGGCTATCAAAGCCTGACAAGACACCCTATATTTAATCATATAGTACAAAGTTGCAGACAGTGTCCTGAGTTCTCTTGGACCAGCAAGGATCAGGACGGCATGAAATATACAAGGCCATGGAGTTAAATATAATAATGGGATCATTAGGTATATACATTTGGTCTCTTCTCTTGAATATGCTTTTATAGTCTTTAGAAGTTCTTGTCACCATAAGGAGAGATGTCCCTTCCTGCAGGGGCTGTCTATAGGCTCCTTCCCTAAGGTCATGATGCAGTAGTCCCACATAGGCGACTTGAGCCCACCACCTCTTTGAGGTCATTTTCAGGTTTTCCAGCCACCATAAACGGCCATGTCTGTCAGAGAAAGGAAACAAGTACAAATGAGTTGAATGCTCCTAGCACCTAAGAAGACAGCTCTGCTATTGCTGGGAATCAGCCGGTAAATGTAACAGACCTCCACAGGCACCGTGTGCAGTCATTGTATACATGTCTGCTTGGAGGAATAGAAATATGCCATGTACATGGAGGATTACATTCAGTCTTGTGTGGGATGAAGACCCTGACATGAAGGGATTAGTCACCCAGCAGATAGAAGCACTGATTCATGGAAATACATTTATCACACACTAGCTTCCAGGCACAATACTATCTGGATCTGGGCAGGGACAAGGCAGGCTAATCACCTACGTTTTCTGTATTTAAATTGTATTTATTTCAAAGAATCCCTGCATTACTACAAGAATATATTATATTTATAGTTGTTCAAAAACCAGGGGTGGCCACTTAGTATATTCTAGCTTTGTGTTTTTGTTTTACTATTCTATTTTATTTTACTTTTCATCTTGCCATTTTAATATTCCAGCCAGAAATGTATATGCAGTTTAATATGTGGAAAAAAAGTAATAACTACAACAACAACAACAATAATAATACTAAAAGTAATAATAATAACTATTGCTGAACAAAAACAAATACTGCCACTACTGCTACTATTACTACTACTAACGTTTTGACTGTAATTACTTTTAGACATAGTAGTATTTATTTGTTGTGGTTTACCAGTAACTATTATTATTATCATTATTTGTTGTTGTTTAAAAGTAGTTAGTAGTAGCAGCATACTATTAATATTTGTTGTTGTTCATCAGTAGTTATTAATAATAATACTAATAATACCTATTGCTGAACAACAAATACTAATGCTGCTGCTATCACTACTACTGACTAATTAAAAACAGCAACAAATAGTGATAACTAATGTTAAAAATCAACAACAACTAATAACAATACCTACAGTTAAACAACTAATATTAATAACTGTTAATCAACAATTATTACTATTATAATTATTATTAATAATAATAGCAACTCTTAAAAACAACAATAAATAATAATAATAATAACTACTGTTGAACTACTACTACTACTACTAATAACTACTGTTAAACAACAACTAATAATAATAACTGTTATTATTATTATTATCATCATCATCATTATTTTTTTATTGTATTGGTCCAGAATTGTTTATTTTTACTATTTATATTTTATTGCTTATTTTTGTATTGATTTTTCGCATATAAAGTAAATAAAATATTGTCTCACAGGTTTGTAAAAATCTAAATTTGTGATCCTGCTTTTAATGAAAACAAAACTCAAAAGCTGTACATTGTGTAACTTTTTTTTCTTAATTAAGGGAGTGGGATGTATGTTGTGCTGATATAGATAAAATTCCTCCCTTGTAAAAAAAAAAAAAAAAAAAAAAAATGAAGAAAGAAAAAAAAAAATCCTAACAGCTCCATAATTTACAGCCAAGGAGATAAGAGAAGAACTATGTCTACAGATTGCAGCTCTGCAGAGACTGTATTATTAAACAATACTTACAATACTCTCAGCTAAATGTTCGTTGTATCTGTCACCTGTCTTTCCTATCTTGGTATTGATAATAAGTGGTCACCCTATAGATGATCTGTAGATTGAATCTATACAACATACGTGAAAGTCGGTCTAATAGGGCACTTACCAGGTTGACAGGATGGATATATCCATTCTCATACTTGTCATTGGCTAGTATCTGCCTCAGATGAGCAATATAGCTTGAAGCCAGCCTGAGGGTGTCCAGCTTGGAGAGCTTAGTGTCCGGTGGTACCCAGGGTAAGGTAGTCTTGAGTCTGGAGAAAGCTTTGCTGAGTACCCTCATCCTGGCTCTCTCCCTGGCATTGGCAGCATTCCTCTGGACCTGCTTCCCTTCATGGTTAACCCCACCCAGGGGACTTTTCTTGCGTGGGGCTTTCCTCCTCTTTCCTGTAGCTCCTCTGCCTTTCTTTGGAGATCCATTGTCACAGTTGGAGCTTTCCTCGTTGCTGTCATTTGAAATCCCAAACTCTTTGCTAGAATCCAGTTTGCTGCCATCACATCCCAACATTTCCACCTCCTGGAAGTCCTCCACATCACTCAAAGAGCCAGTAGACATGGTCTGCAGACTGCCTGCTTGCCCCTTCTTCCCTTTAGGGATCAAGGTGTAAATGCAGAATAAAGGGGATGTGTTTGATGAACAATTTACAGTGGACACGCCTGTTCCAGTGTTTGTCTTAGGGAGAGAGCTGTGGAATTTGATGTGGACAGTAGTCATTTATTTATTGGATGGAGGGCGGGTCGGGGCTGAGCCTAATGATACAAGGAGGAGACATTCTCCCTAAAGATCTTCTCCCTCTCTTCTACTAGCCTATTGCTTCCTCCCACTACTCATCACTTACTAACATACTAGATTCCTAGAGCTAGCACACTCCATGCAATCTGGTGTACCTTAATCCTATCACTTGTATTACAAGTACTGTATGTATCATTTTAATAAACTAAACGATTGTTATATAAATATGTTTAAATCACACCTACTGCTGAGTTAATAACGTGCAATACTGCATCAATGCATTCAACTAATGATCTCTCTTTGTGCACAATATATAAAACAGGCACAGGGGTTGATTTACTAAAACCGGAGAGTGCAAAATCTGGTGCAGCTCTGCACAGAAACCAATCAGCTTCCAGGTTTTTTTTTTTTTTTTTGGTCAAAGCTTAATTGAGCAAATTGAAGTTAGAAGCTGATTGGCTACCATGCACAACTGCATAAAATTTTGCACTCTCCAGTTTTAGTAAATCAACCCCTCAGTGACATCCTATGTGAGGATCTTCCTGAAATTCCAACATTGGTAGAATTCTAGGAGGGAGCATCGCAAGTGTCTATCATGACATGGCTGATGGCTTGCAGTGTCTGCTAGAGGTTTGGACCCTATTACAAAGGTCAGAGGCCATCAGAGCTCATTACTAGCTGATTTCTATAAAATAACAAACTGCCCCTATACTGGATCTAATACAGCAGGACACCCAGGGAACTAATTGCACAGGCAAGTCTGCAAATAAGCAGTCAATTAAAGTCAATAAAATAATGGTAATAGATAGTTTTTTGGTTTTTATATGTTTGCTGTTTGTCTGTAACAAATACAAGCAAAGTAGAATATCAGGACACAGTTATTGAAAAATGATTTAATTAAATATAAAATCTGACTTCTTTACAAACAGGGAAACTTGATTCATTATGGATTTTTGCAATAAGACAGCTAAACGTTTAATAGATGTCATATATGTAATATCTCTCTCTCTCTCTCTCTCTCTCTCTCTCTCTCTCTCTCTCTCTCTCTCTCTCTCTCTCTCTCTCTCTCTCTCTCTCTCTCTCTCTCTCTCTCTCTCTCTCTCTCTCTCTCTATCTCTCTATCTATCTATCTATCTATTTTTTTTTCTTTCTTTCTTTCTACTTATTACACACACACATATATATACTATTGTTTTCACTTTATAAGTGGCATGTTTTATACATAATCTCTCACTTTCCTTTTCTCTCTCTCTCTATATATATTTATATATAATATATATATATATATAAATATATATATATATTACAATATATATATATATATATACATACACACACACTATGTATATATATATATATATATATATAACTTTATTATTTGCTTGTTTATACCTCTCTCTCTATATATATATATAGATATATACTATATATATATATATATATGTATATATATATATATATATATATATATTCACTTTTGGTTCCTTGCATGTTTAATTTCAAATGTCTTATCTAATGTTTACTCTAATTACTGATTATTGTCTTGATTGGAATAATGTCTTATCTCAACTGTCTAGGTGTGAATAAGCCAACCCACTGCATAGCTCCTTCAGTGAGATCAGGTCTTTTGAGATAAACATGACAATAGCCAATGTCTACACTCAGCAGATCGCAGAAAAATCCAGTGCGATCCTTTTCACGATTTGTATTCACACAAATGAGTGATCTTATTTTTGTTACTGTGTATTTGTTTTACACATATGTAGCATATCATTAGCCTTATAATATAACACTTCTGCCTTTTAATATTTGTTCTTGTTACAGAACTCTTTGAAAATATAATAAACACTTACATTTATGGGTGAACCCCTAAATTATACAAATTATATATTATTTTAATGACTGCATGGGTTTGATTTGTTTAAGGAGGTGATCATTTTCACTTTATTAAGTGAAAATGCTCCAGTCTTTTTGTAAATTAAAAGTGTAATAAATGCTGATATCATTTTATGATAGACATGACATCACTACGGGTTACTAATGACATCACTGTATGAAAAAGATGACATCACTATGTTATACTAATGACATCACTGTATGATACAGATGACATCACTATGTCATACTAATTACACCACTGCATGATAGGAATGACATCACTGGGTGATACCGATGACATCACTGTAAAAACAGATGACAGCATACCTGATAGAACAATGCAAGGATGAAAGCTGCCCACGTTGAAAGTTTGATGCCTGTCAAGGGTTTGATTTGTTTAAGGAGGTGATCATTTTCACTTTATTATGTGAAAATGCTCCAGTCTTTTTTTTAAATTAACAGTGTAATTAATGCTGATATAATTTTATGATAGAGATGACATCACTATGGGATACTAATGACATCACTGTATGATAAAGATGACTTCACTATGTTATACTAATGACATCACTGTATGATAAAGATGACTTCACTATGTTATACTAATGACATAATGACTAATGACTAATGGGGGCAGCACAGTGGCTAAATGGTTAACACTTTTGCCTGGCAGTACAAGGGTCGTTGGTTCAAATCCCAGCCACGGCACCTCCTGCCTGGAGTTTGCAAGTTCTCCCTGTGCCTGCGTGAGTTTCCTCCATGTACTCCGGTTAATTGGATCCTGTCTAAATTGGCCCTAGTATGTGTATGTATGAATGTAAGTTAGGGACCTTTAGATTGTACACCCTTTGAGGGTCAGGGACTGATGTGAATGTACAATATATATGTAACGCACTGCGTAAATTGACAGCGATATACAGATATACAGGTGTATGATTCAGATTACATCACTATATTATACTAATGACATCACTGTATGATAAAGATGACTTCACTATGTTATACTAATGACATCACTGTAAGATACAGATCACATCACTATGTTATACTAATTACATCACTGCATGATAGGAATGACATCACTGTGTGATACTGATGACATCACTGTATAATACAGATGACAGCATACCTGGTAGAACAATGCAAGGATGAAAACTGCCCACGTTGACAGTTTGATGCTTGTCTGTCCTTGTATTTGTAATATTAAACATACAGTCATCACATCTCAACTGACAAATACTAACTACATCATCTTGAGCAGAAACAACAGCAAACTCATTTATTTCATACATGTTTAGTCGTTAGAGGCAACAACTCAACTTTTAAAAAAAAAAAAAATGATTTAATTTCTTATAATTAACCTTGACTTTGTGGAAACACATTACTTTAGTCATTGTGGGGATCTTTTTGATGCGACTGATCCATGATCACAGGCATTCGTATTAACGGGGAGTTCCTGCAAGTAGCTGTGTTGCACTCTGCGATGTGTTCAGTGGAGCAGCCGAGGTTAGGATGGGGATACTTTACAAACCATTCATATTATCCTCAGTTTGCTTGAGGTAACTGTAGCCGTATTAGTGCATTTGCGACAGAAACAATTGAGTACTGTCTGTGATACTTTTTTTATTTCCACTAACAAACAATTTTGAGGACAAGCTTTCAGGGAGTGTCCCCTTCTTCAGGTCAAAGCAGTACTCAATTGTTTCTATATTATCCTCAATAATTAGTGTTGGTGAACAGCACTCTCATCTCATAGTACATAAACCTGTGCCAAGAGCCATGGCACTCCCCCACAAACCACATGATCTACCATACTGCACAGGTATTATATGTCCTCTTAGGAGTTACTGTTAGACATACAGTACATAGATCTGAAAACTATTTGTTGTTACTTCAAGTGATACTAAAGGCAAAAATGACATCTATGATGCAGTCTGTCACTAGCATTAACAGACAGTCTTTGTTTTCTGAGCTTCCTAGATCTTTTTAATCTGTTGACCCTGATTTTTCAACTTCCTTCAACAGATCAAGCTATGCAGCAAAAGTGGCAGTTAGAAGGTTGAAGCAAACCATTTAACACCAACAGGAGTGAACAATGGTCATCTTTTACAAATTTAGTTAAAACCTTTATTCCAAAAGGAAAAAAAAAACTGTAACAGTTTAAAAAAAGTGCTAGTTGCATTGTTAGGCACCTTTATGATGTCAATCTAAATCTACTAGTCTGTCTCGTAGGTATTTTCTAAGTGACTGGATCACCGGAAAAAAAGGAAAAAAAAAAAAAAAAAAATAAAAAGTAATACAATCACAACATCTAAGGATTGGTAGACTGGAGTGGTTAAAGAGTATGCAAGTGTACAATCCAAATGCACACGTTCCTGCGTTAAAAAATGGCTGTGTGTATAAGTGGGTGCTGCAGTGCCCGTTGGCTGGAACCGAACAGAATCACTAAGGGAGAATGTCACCAGCACACCGAGGATCACCAATATGGGTCCAAAGGTTTTAATGAATGATCACATAGTTACAGCAGGGCAACATTTCAGAGTCTCGCAGGACCCCTTCATCAGGCATGTAACAATGGTCACATGTCTGATGACGGGGTCCTGCTAGACTCCAAACTGTTGCCTTGCTGTAACTATGTGATCGTTCATTAAACCTTTTAGGACCCATATTGGTGATACTGGTGTGCTGGTGACATTCTCCCTTGTGGGTTAAAGAGTATGTTACCCCCAACATTTCATATTCTTGATATGTGCCTGTTGTTCCATGTACTTGTGTTAAAAAGTATCATGTTCTCTTTGTATTTCTGCTGATCCTGACTGTCCCCTTGCTTTTCCACATTAAACATGGGAGCACATCTATTCCAGTGTGGCCAGTTTTCTGGCTATGCTGGGAGCACA